CTGAAATATTTCAGTTGGTGTGCAATGAATCTGAAATATATGAAAGTTTCATTTTTATCATTACATTATGGAAAATAATGACCTTTATCACAATATGCTAATTTTTTGAGAAGGACATGTAAAACCTGATATTATTCAGTTCAGGATCAGGACATCACTGCATAGCCACAAATGCAGGGTACAGCTCTATCATGTAAAGAAGTAGCCATATGTGAACACCACCCAGTATTGCAACTGTCGTCACTGGGCTAAAGCCAATAGAAAATGAACTAAGGCAAAGTTGAAAACTGCTCTGTGCTCGGATGAAACTACTTCTTCTTTCAGCTGCTCCCTTTTTAGGGGTCACCACAGCGAACTAAGTCGCACAAAGACTTGGCAGTTATTTTTACGCCAGATGTCCTTCCTGACACAACCACAGCCCTCTGTGTGGAGCAGAGAGCTGTTATCTAGGACACCCGGAGGAGCAGATGGTGGGGGCTAAGGGCTTTGCTCAAGGGCCCAGATGAAACCAAATTTGAAATTCTTATTGTATACTACAAAGGTTACGTCTTCTTCACTGAAGAGGAGTGGGACCATTTGGCCTGGTATTGGCATACTTTTCAATAGCCTGCCTCTTTCATGGTATAAGATAGAACTTTATTGATCCCACAGGAAATTGTTGTGCCAGAGTTTCAGTACAAGGGAACATACCAGTACACAAGTAAGCACACAAGATATACATATATATAAAAAAAAAAAAAAATTTTATAAAACAGAGAAAATAAAAATACCAAAAATTAAGGTCTAAAGCAGGTCTGGTGCAGATGGAGATGTATAGTGCGTATGGCATGGGACGCTTATACATCTGGAAAGGCAAAATCAATGCAAAACACTGTATACAGGATTTCAAACAAACTCTCTTCAAGATGTCACCTGGTGCCCATGTCCAGACATCACTGTGTGAGAGGTGGGAGACATCCTGGACAGGTCTCCAGTCCGTTACAGGGACACAGAGACAAACAAGACAACCAACCATTCACTCTCATTCACACCTAGAGACAATCTAGAGTTACCAATCAGCCCAAATTTTCATTGTGAATAAAATATGGATTTATGAGATTTGTAAATTGACGAATGTTTATTTACATTTTATACAACTTTCCAACTTTGTCAGAGTTGAGGTAAATCAGGGATTAGCTCTGAGCACCTTTTTTGTTTTCAGCAGTGCTGTATAGGTCTGTCACAATAAATAATAAATCAATTAATCACATGATAAATGAAAAGGATCAACCTCATTTTCATTTATCGGCTTTATCGTTTCTTGGTGTCTCTCTCTTTCTGAAGACACTGGATGACAAAAAGCTCAACTCCGGTGTTCTTCACTGACCCCTACCTTTCTCTTTAAAATCCATTTTAACCGTCCAGAATCGTGTTTTTGGTTCGTTAAAAGCAGCTAAGCTGAGAAGCTAAGTTACGAGCTAAGCTAACAGGCTGACCTCGGGAATAAACCTTTGTCTTGTCAAAGCTACATAATTCACGGTTAAAACCCGTGCATTCGTGTTAGAAGTTTTTTCTCTGCAAAAAGAAGTTGAGAACTTGTTTACTGATTTTTATATTAAAAGCTTTGTGTGAAAAATGCTATGCTAAAAAGCTCAAACCACACCGAGCGTCCGCCATTTTGAGAACCAAATGGAGACGGCCCATGTGACATCAAGGGGACTCCCAGTGATTATTCTGGTTAGAGATTCATGAGTCTAACAGCCTCAGGGTAGAAGCTGTTCCTCAGTCTAGTGGTTCTACACTTAATGCTCCTCAACCTCCTTCCTGAGGGGAGTGGGGCAAAACGTGTGTGTGCTGGGTGAGTGGGGTCCTTCATGATGCAGGTGGCCCTCTTCCTGCATCTGAAGGTGTAGATGTCTGTGATGGTGGGGAGACTGACTCCAACATCTTCTGTGCAGCCTTCACCACTCTCTGCAAAGCTTTTCTTTCTGCAGCTGTGCAGCCTCCATGCCACACGTTGATGCTGGAGCACAGGATGCTCTCCACTGCACACCTGTAGAAGGAGGTGAGGACTGAGCTTCCCAGTCCAGCTCGCCTCAGCCGTCTGAGGAACTAGAGTCTCTGATGTGAATGAATGTAACGAAATATTCAGTGTTGGTGTGACGGGGAGGATTCTTTAATAAAGTGAGACAGCAGCAGATGACCTGATGTGATGTGGACACGCCTAAAAGCTCAACGGACTGTAAAAATTAAACTTTGTTTATAACTCCGTTCTCTCTCATCCAGGGAGTCAGATTACCATTTGTAAGAGGCCTCTTTTTGTGGAAACATGGATTCTGCTGGTGGAAGCAGTGGTGAGTATTTCTGTTCATAAAGTCATGCTTTGTTTTATTAGAAAAAGAAACAAGTAAATTTTTTATGTAAGGTGAAGCAGCAGCTAATGATCAGGTCCCAGCTTTTTCTTGTCGCAGGCTTGCAAATGTGCTGAGGACAAAACTGACTGCAGCTTACAAAAGCACAGCTCAAAGTGATGACAAAATGAGATTATAATCACCTAAGGCCCTGGTGATTTGTTAAACAGTCCTTACTGTTAAGACACGGTCTACCATGATCCACTGGGACAACTTCTTCCACGTTTTCTTTCCTTAAAATAAACCTCTGGGCTCCGGCAGCTCACAGTTCTTCATGTTACAAACTCTGGAGAACAACCCTGAACCGGTTCCATCCAGCTCCACCTTGGTTCCAACGCCGAGAAGTTCATGTCTCTGAGATCGTTGGAGCATTTGTGTGTGCTCTTGTGAACATTTTCTGTCTTCGTGCCGCCTCCAGCTAATGGTCGAGGAGCGGAGATGGTTTCTAAAGACCGGTCGCCACAGGAGAAGTAGCTTCGACCTGGCATTACTAACGTAGCGCTCCACTTATCTCAATCCCCATTTGATAAGCGCCCTGCCAAGGCTAGTAATGTAGGGGAACCACTGGACTCCATCTTAGACTACAGCTAAATTACAGCTGCACAACATCTGGACTGCAGCTTGACTGCTGCTGGACTGCTGTTTGATGAGTCAGTACATGGCAGCATCTAGATGGCACTTCAGTTGGACTCCAGTGAGCGAGACATTTCAAACACTGACAACAATCAGCACTTTTCCTGTTTATACTTTCTGTGTACAGTCAGCCGAACATTTACAAGAAAATGTGTACTTGACTGTACAAGTACATGAAAATAGATGAACAAGCTGGAAAATTGAATCTAGAAAAGTGTGAAATAAAAAAAACCTGGAAAGCTGTAGGAAAACTGAGCTTTAGAAATGTTTGATGTTTATGTTGATTGAGTCCAGTAACTGGAGTGATTTAATTTACTACATCAACATTTTTTGCCTTTTTACAACGTATGACCTTTTTACAGCGTATGACCTTTTTACAATGTATGACCTTTTTACAATGTATGACCTTTTTACAGCGTATGACCTTTTTACAGCGTATGACCTTTTTACAACGTATGACCTTTTTACAACGTATGACCTTTTTACAACGTATGACCTTTTTACAACGTATGACCTTTTTACAACGTATGACCTTTTTACAGCGTATGACCTTTTTACAGCGTATGACCTTTTTACAACGTACGACCTTTTTACAATGTATGACCTTTTTACAATGTATGACCTTAACCACTAAACAGTATACATATTTTAAAAACTAGAAAAAGTCCTGGAGAAAATTTGGCAGGGACTGCTTCATGGTGGCCATTAAAATGTGTTGGGGATCACTCCCAGCTGACACCACACCAAATTTCAGCTCAGTATGGCAAAACAACAACAACAACAAAAATAGATGCATTATAGTAATTTTTTCCTTAAAGCTATGGCAGCCATCTTGGATTATTTATTTGGTTTCTGTTTGTGTTGAGGATCATGCTCACCTACTGCCACACCAAATTTCAGCTTAATATCTATTAAAATATCAAATTTGTAGTATTTTTCAGTTATAGCTTAGGTGGCCATCTTGGATTGTTGATTTGAACCAGTCTATTAAGGATCATTCACAGGTACACAACATTTCAGCTCAATAGGTTTAAAAACAGCAGAGTTACAGCCATTTGAATTTAGCTTTGGCGGCCATCTTAAAGTTTGAGATTTGAATTCAGAATGTGTTCTGCATCTCTGTCATGTACCACCAAAAGTTTCAGCTCAATATATTTTAAATTAGCTGCGTTATGACATTTTTTCTAATTTAGCTCTGGCAGCCATCTTGGATATTTGATTTGCATTAGGAACATATAACAACTCACTCTCAGCTATAACCATACTGAATTTCAGCTCAGTATGCCAAATAATGCAGAGTTAATGCTAATTTAGTGTTTTCTGAGGTAGCTGTGGCAGCCATCTTGAATCAAAATGGCTCCAAACATTATTCAGTTCTAGAGGTACATGTGATGATTACTTGCTGTGAGTTTGAAACAAATCCAACGTGTTGTTCATGAGATATGCTGCTAACAGACAGACCGTATGTAAGTTGACCTGTATTTCTAAATGTGTGTTGACGTCAGGTCAGATGTAAGATGAGTCTGATGTTTGTCAGAACAATGTAACGCTGACATGTGTGTGCAGCTTTGTAACTAAACATGACCAGATCATTGAGCTGTTCTGTCCCATGTGGCGACGAGCTGGTGTGAAGCTGAGCTTGCTCTTGCTGCTGTTTGCTTCCAGATGTGCAGGCCGAGCTGGACTCAGTGGAAGCAGAGCTGCGGTCTGTGGAGCTGCACATCACAGAACTCCTGGAGAAGCAGACGCAGCTCACCTCTCGAAAGAACGCACTGCTGCAGCAGTTGGAGGAGGCCTGTGATGCTGCGCGACCATCCTCCTCTTCCTCCTCCTCTTCCTCCAGGTCCTCAGGGGCGGAGCCAGGGATGAGCCAGCAGGAGGTGCAGCGCTATGATGGCACAGGTTCTCAACGCTTTCTTCAAAGTCTCATGCTGTCGGCCATATTAGGTCCTGTTGTTGACACCCATTGTTTACCTGTGTTTTCTAGATTTCCCTTGGTCCAAAGAGGTGGAACGGCACTTCAAGGACTCGTTTCATCTCTCCCAGTTCAGACCGCTGCAGCTTCGAGCCATCAACCTCACCATGGCAGGCAGAGATCTGTTCTTGGTGATGCCCACAGGAAGAGGGAAAAGTCTCTGCTACCAGCTGCCTGCAGCCTGCTCCCACGGTACGTACAGACAGATATCTATAATATCTTTATATGTAAATATGCACTGCTCAAAAACATAAAGGGAACACACTAGGAATGTGCTATATGGCATAAAATTCATATCACGATATGTATTGTGAAGGGTGGTTATAACGATATATATCGCAATATGTTTTGGTATAAAACTTGCTAAAAAAAGCATAGTGTGTCCTTTTGCCATCATATATTTTGAATTAAGAAAATTCCACTACTAGGTCCAGAGAGTTTTTAAATAATAAACAAATCAAGTATTAGGCTTCTTTCTTGTAGTGCAAAACAGTGCAAAAGATATCAAATGTAGTTTTAGCCATATGTTTTAAACAAAAGAATATGTTGTTAACTCTTAACAGTTTCCAGTCTTAAGAAATGAGCAACAGAGCAGCATTTTACACTGAAACACTTCACCCTCCAACCCTCTAGTGGGCACCTCCTGCTTTAATGGAGCTGACACAAAATGAGACTGTGACCAGAGGGTCTCGCAGTAAAATCACACAACACAGCGTTCTTTTCACAGATCAGAGAGCAGGTTTCTCTAAAGCTGACCAACGCGTACTTTAACTTTCGATGGAAAAAAAACAAAACTTTCGATGGAACACAGTGTTTTGCGCATGCGTCAGAATACGGCAACACTACGGCAAGCCGGCTGTAGTTAGCTTGTAGCTTTGCTACTTTGCTCTCGAAGAAAAGACTAACGTGACTTGCGCACAGTTTTCAACTAAAAAAAAGTAACGATTAAACTGACAACTGATTTTACTTCAGACACTGCGTTACTGCGGTTAGCCGGTAGAAGACAGATCTATATCGTAGGCTAAACTTCTATCGTTTCTACCGTGTACCGTTTATATCGCGCATTCCTAGAACACATAAAAAAACAATGTAACTCCAAATCAGTCACACCTTTGTAGAATCAGTGTCACCAGTTAGGTAGTAACACTTACTGGGAATCAATTTCACCTGCTGCTGTGCAAATGGAACACACAACAGGTGAATAAGAGACGATTATCAAGACAAGCCTTAGGAAAGAGTGATTCTGCAGGTGCTGACCACAGGTCGTTTCTCTGCTCTCGTCCTTTCTGGTTGAACTTTTAGCCACTTTATTTTTATACCTTTATTTTACCAGGAAGAAATCCGCTGACATCATCAGTCTCTTTTACAAGGATGTCCTGGACAATATGCAAATACAGCAACACAGTCTTAAAAACGGTAACAATAGTATTAAAATATTTACAACAAAACATCCATTAGTAAAACATGAAATGCAATGCAAGTAAAAAAAAATCACAATTTAAAACACCTAAACATTACAAGATGCGACTGAAACCTTAGACAATTTTTGTTTAAAACTAGTTAAAGGAATAGAAGACTCCAACCTAAACTTAAGCTGTAGATCATTCCAAGACCATGGGCCAAAATAGAAAATTAAAAATAAAATTTTGTGAGCAGTATATATCAATCTATCTATATAGATATAGATAGATTGATATATAAATTCTGTTTTTACGATCAGTTATCATCACTTTATGCTAAAATACAACCCTAGTTCTGAAAAGGTTAGGCCATTGTAAAATGTAAAGAGAATGCAATATTTGCAATACTTCTTCTTTCAGCTTTTCCTTCTACGGGTGTCTCCACAGCGAGTTCTCCTCCTCCATCTCACTGCATCCTCTGTCCTCACTCCAACTACATCCATGTCCTCTCTAACTGCATCCATATGTCTCCTCTTTGTCTTTTTCCTGGCAGCTGCATTTCTAACACCCTTCTATTAATATACCCACTGTCCCTCCTCTGGACATGTCCAAACCACTGTTCCTCCTCTGGATATGTCCAAACCACTGTCCCTCCTCTGGACATGTCCAAACCACTGTCCCTCCTCTGGACATGTCCAAACCACTGTTCCTCCTCTGGATATGTCCAAACCACTGTTCCTCCTCTGGACATGTCCAAACCACTTTTCCTCCTCTGGACATGTCCAAACCACTGTCCCTCCTCTGGACATGTCCAAACCACTGTCCCTCCTCTGGACATGTCCAAACCATCTCGGTCTGGCCTCTCTGACTTTGTCTTAATCTATCAACCTTTGATGTAATTATTTGGAATTATTTCTCATAAATCCACATTTTATTCTCATTGTCACATAGTAATCATCAAGTGTTTAAACAAAAGAAGTTTGTGCCATTAAAGGCCTACATATTAGGGCAGTGGTTCAAAGTTTGCTTGTTTAGTCCCCGTTCGGAGAAAGAAAGTTGTCCGCACGCCCCCCAGCCCCTGAACGCAAAACCAAATAACAATTTGTGAAATACTCAAGTTTACCACATGAACTAAACTCTTTAAAATCTAATCTCTTTGAGTGAATTTAAGTCATTTAGATCAAAGGTCTGTCAGTCTAACAAGTAGAAATGACTATTTGATGTTTTGAGCATGAACTTTGGCTGTTTAAAGTTATTTTTATAACCTAAACTATAATTCTTTTACATTTTTTAAATGCCACCCTCATAGGGCTGGGTACCTTTCTAAAAAGTTCGGTATTGGTGCTGGTGTCGGTACCTTCACTTCGGTGTCGGTTCCTGAACAATACTTTTTCGGTACTAATTTTATAATTAACATCAATTCTAACGAGAAGAAAAATATGTTGCACATTACAGTACAAATCGTGAGTTTTATTTTTTTAACTTTGGTATTTTTCTATTCCAAGCAGTTTTCTTACATAAAAACAAATAAAAATTTCCAGGTCAAAAGACCAGTTTCAAACCAGTGACATGTCGGTGTCTAATTTTCATCAATTCATTCAACCTTTATTTAGACATGTAAATCCCATTGAGCCTCGAGGACTCATTTACAAGAGAGACCTGATTTCAACAAAGAATGATGACAACAATGGACAACAATAAACAGTTATAAAAAAAACATACATTTTTTTTTTTTTTTTTTTTTACAAATAGGAAGGCTAAAAAAAAAGAAAAGTAACAAAAAACAGCTAGATTCTAAGACGAATGTAGAAAACTAAAAACAGGAACATGTCAGCATTGGTCCCTGCCAGGAGTCCAACAGATTCTTAAAGACACTCAGAGAGGTCAAGGTCGAGAGCTTCAAATCTTTTTGTAAGATATTCCAGGAAACAGGAGCGGAATAGGAGAAGGTCCTTTTGCCTAGTTCAGTCCTCACTGAGGGAACACTGCAGGTGGTAATGTCCTGAGAGCGCACTCTGTAGCTGCACTCACGCAGAGACATGTAGGAGGAGATGTATGAAGGCAGCAGACCAAGAAGTGATTTAAAGATGAAAATGTACCAGTGAGAGAGTCTGCGTGAAGTTAATGATGTCCAGTTAACCAGTGAATACAGGGTGCAGTGGTGGGTACGATAATCACAGCCAGTTATGAATCTTAGTGCACCATGATAGACAGCATCCAACATCTGCAGGGTTCTTGTAGGAGTGTTATGTAAATAATGTCACCATAATCAATGGAGGGAAGGAAGGTCACATTTACAAGATGTTTTCTAGCATTCAGAGTTAGACAGGATCTGTTTCTGAAAAAGAAACCCAGTTTAACTTTCAGTTTCTTTACCAAGTTTTCCACATGGAGCTTAAAAGAGAGATGTGAGTCGACCAAGATACCCAAATATTTATAGGAATCAACAAACTCAATGGGGACACCATTTGAGGATAAAATCAGAGGAAGGACTGCTGGGACCAACTTCCTATTTGAAAAAAGCATCCCTTTGGTTTTGTCGGCATTTAGGACAAGTTTGAGGCGGAACAAATCAGTCTGGATGATGTTGAATGCAGATTTCAAAAGCTGGAAAGCCTTAGCAACAGTTTTAGCTCGACAATAAACAACTGTGTCGTCAGCATAGAAATGTATGGATTCATCAAGGATGTTTTTACCAACATTATGTATGTAGATTGTAAAGAGGGTTAGTCCTAAGACTGAGCCTTGTGGTACACCATTGTTGACTGTTGAATAACTGGAGGAAGTACCATTATGTTGAACACATTGCCTCCGATCTGAGGGATAGTTAGAGAACCAACCAATGGTGTGATCTGAGAAACCAGTTTCTGAGAGTTTATGACACAAGATGTTATGATCCACAGTGACAAAAGCTTTAGACAGGTCTAAGAAAAGTGCAGCACAATAATCCTTAGCATCCAGTGCTTCAACAACGTCATTAAGACCCTTCAGTGAAGCAGTGGTTGTGCTGTGTTGTTTCCTGAAACCAGATTGATGTGGAGGTAAGATGTTAAATGAGTCCAGGTAATTTTTGATTTGAGAGTTTATCAGTTTTTCTAGAACCTTGGCTAAAATGCAGAGTTTAGAGATTGGTCGATAGTTGTTCAGTGAGGTGGGGTCACCTCCCTTCAGCAAAGGAAGAACAAAGGCTGTTTTCAAGTGTCTGGGATGGAGTTTTGTCTTATGGAGAGATTGAAGATGTGGGTCACAGGACTGTGATGATATGAGCAGCCAGCCTTAAGAAATAAGGTGGAAGTTCATCTGGACCTGCAGATTTTTAGGATCAAGATCTTTTAACAGTTTATTGACCTCACTGACTGAGAACGGAGAAAAAGAGAATGTGTGATTAACTGAGGATTGACTTGTAGGAGGGATTTGATTAGTAGAAGTTTGGTTATTAAGTGAAGTGGCTGATTTTCCATTAGTAGCTGTGTCAAATAAAGAACCAGAAGCAACAAAATGTTTGTTGAAACAGTTCAGGATCTTCTAAAAAAGTTAAATCTGGTCCTCTGGACATTCAAAAAAACAAAACAAAGCAAATCAACAAAAAAATGTAGAAACGTTTCGTCTCTCATCCGAGAGACTTCCTCAGTCTGAGGAGCTGTATTCAGCTCAGTCTCTTAAATAGCACCGTCTCAGAGTGGATCAACCAGTTTGCTGCTGACAACCAAAACCAGCTGATCGCATGCTCAAGAAGTGACCATCAGCCTAACAATGGATCATTAGCACACTGATGGCTGTTTACTACTCACA